AATGTGGGATGCTTGGATGTCATATACTCTGGAAATTGACAAAGAGCGCGCACGCGCTGGAGGTGATTTCGAAAGCCGTATATTAGTGGACACTAAAAACTGTTACTGGCGATGAATCCCGCCCATGATTCATTTGCATAGTACGGAAAGTACCCATGGCGGAGAATCTGCGGACTCGTATTTTTCCTTGAATCTCAGAGCTAAATACTAAGTGCATAACATCCAACTGCGGTTTAATCATGTCGGTCCGTACTCATCAAACTGTACCACTTCGGCTGCCCTTAAGATTGGCGTTTTGAGCACAACACCACCGAATTATTTACCAGATCACTCGCACATGCGGAAACACTATCTATGAACTCTTGTAGTGTTATGGTTTAGGTTTGAAGTATGCCACTCTGCAGTTATGCCAACCACCTGCATAAATACTCAGACGTCAAACCGGTTTTAGTTCAATTTGATTTTTAGTGTAGCTTCGTCTTCAGATAAGTGAATTTTGCGCAGATAGGATTAAGTTTAGATAAGTTTAATTAGTTCAGTATATAGTAGTTATTGAAGTATATTTTTCTAACTTCCACGGCTTCTAACCAAACTTGAGTAAAACTAAAATTAAAGCAATAAACTAAAAAGTATACTAAACTGAAGTCATAAGCATCAACAGCGCCATCCTTGCCCACGTGTTTGACTCCGGACTTCGTATGCACCCAACGAAGCCTTTTATGGTATTTATAAGGTCACGCCTTTCTTAAGGTATAAATTTTAAAAAAGGCGTAATTTGCTACCAAACGAGTACAAGAAATAATTTTTTTTTCGTGCATTTTTTCCAAAAAATATATTTGAATTTATAAAAGCAGTCAAAATCAATGATAACAACGCATGCTATTTAAGTAGTTACTTTTTACAGTACATACGTTCTGCTAACGGTCAGAAAGAAGATCGTTAAAAAGCCCGCATCCTATCATGACTGAAATAACTTCAGAGTAGGCTAAACGATAATCACTATCATAATCTGAGTCAATGCCGATTAGCGAAAGAGTATCAATCTTTCGCATATGTCG